GTCTTGGCTGGCGCTGCTTGGGACTTAGTTGCGGATTGCGTGTACACCTGATCGATTGACACGACATTTTCATCTAGCTGATGAATCTCGATGATTTCCCCGAGCTTCGCGTAAAGCCAAGGCCAAGTCCTTTTACTGCTGTTTGGACTGGCGTTCCTGAAACGGTCGATCACCAAAGCCATTTTTGGATGTCCTTTCAATTGCTCGAAAAGGGTGCTCCTAATAGCTTGGTCACTCGGTCTCTCGGAAACTTCCAAGGCCTGGTACACGAAGTCGAATCTCTGACGGAAATCTTCGAGTGCCTTAATGTCGGTGCCGCTCATCTTGAGGCCTAAGAGATGGGTTTGAGTCAAGGCAATTCCCCTATCCTTCTCCATCTTAAACCTCTCAAAGATGACCCACAACAACTTCCGCCCCTTTGGCTGCTTGAAGACCCGTTGCTCTTGCTCTTGAATGGATTGGAAAAGCATGGCAAACTTGGTGTTCTTCGACAGCTCAAGCAGCTTTGAACCCAACACTCGATCAAGAATTGGAAACGGAAGGCTCGACTCGAGATCGGCTTTGGGGTTAGTGCTTTCGGCGATCCAGCTATGGATTAAGGATTCGTCACCCTTTGCAAGCCTACACACAAGGTTGAAAACCGAGTTCCTGAACAGGCGAGCGTCTGCCGCCGTTTTGGGCAGCTGAGGCAACTTCATCTCATCATATGCCTTCACACGCATGAGTTTCTTTTCCCTTGAGTAGGCATCGATTGCCGCGTCAATTTGGGCCATTCCCTGATTTCCTTGAGGGGGAATTGAGGGGCCCTGAGGAGGTCTTTGCGAGCCTCCTGGCGAACCTCCTGGTCTCCCGCCGCCTCCACCCTTGTTGGATTCGCTTGATGAGCTATCCGAGTGATCTGGCGACCCAGGATTAGAACCATGCTGTGAACCATTTTGCGATCCACCCCCCGACTGCCCTCCCAAAGATCCTATGTTGAAAATCTGAGGGACCTGCCCTGTTCCTGCCTGATGAATTTGCGGCACAGTTTGAGCGGCGGCAGTCTGGGATGCAAATAGCTCAAAGGCTGATGTGAGTTGATCCAAACGCCTTTCTAATGCACTTAATCCCGGATTCGGTGCAACTGGAGAAGAATCCCCAAAAATGTTTCTCACAGCACCTGATAAGTCCCATGATGAAGCATTGTGTGCACTGATTCCGGTGCCCTGAGGCATCACGGGGCTTGCCTGATGTGAACCGTTGCCATGCGCTATCGGTTGGGGGTTTCCGGTGCCCTGCGGCATCACGGACCCGTCCTGCACTGGCTGGCTGGTGCCCGAAGGCATCACAGCAGGATGCCCACTCGCCTGCAGTGGCTGATTATCCGCGCCATTATGGATGCATGCCAATTCCCTTTTTAAGGATTGATTTTCGGCCTCAAGAGAATTCAACCTTTGCTCCATTGCTAGCAATCGGTCTGCCAACTGTTGCGCCCTCTGCGTTGCTTCGGCCTCCCTAAGTTGGTGTTCCCTAATCTGGTCACTTGTGCCATGCTGGGTCCTCGTCAAGGCATCTTGGAGTGCCTGAACCTGTGCGTTGGCTTGTGATTCCAAATAAAGGACTCGCTCCTGGGCTTGTCTCAATTGGTCCCCCGATTCATGCTTGGTCCTTTCAAGTGATTCCTGAAGGGCATGAACTTGATTGAAGGATTGGCTTTCCAATTGATTTACCCTATCCCTAGCCTCGGCCATTAAGCATTGAGCTTGGGCTTCAGTGACAACCAACCTCCTATCATTCTCTCTCAAATGCGCTTCAGCTCTTTCGACCAGTTGTTGATCCAATGATTGAACAACCATGGTCGGCTGGTACACTTGGGTGTGATGAGCTTGAGCGTGCATTTCAACATTTGGTGAGAAATGATGATGCTGATGCAACTGAGCACTTTGCATGTTGATCCTACTACCCATCGGTTGGGATGATGCCGTGGACATGCTAGTGTCTTCATTACTATTACTGGAGTCTGCGACCTGCGGGGGTGAAAACATCTGTACAGATCCCTGAGCAGCTGGAACTATTTCTGATGGCTCCATTGCTTCTTGAAATTGGTCGGACAGGAAAAGCTACTGACGCAATGCCTGCTTGCACCTTGCGGCGCACTCCGGCCAATGGGCCACACAATCCTCAAGAAATCCGACTGGCCTAAACAAATTGTTGGCCGGTGGCTTTCTGCGAAGCTTGATGTGAATGCCCGAGATCTTGTCCTGTACCTGGCGATCGATGATACTGTTGATGACCTCGTCACTGTCGTCAACGATGAATGCCGAGCGGAATCCAACTGACAGCAGATCCTGAAGGACTAGCACCTTCCCACCTTTCTGGGTCCTGGGATTGAAACTGGCCCTCTCAGAAGTTGTAACGATGAAGTCAAAAACTGATGAGATATCCGGAGTGCGATTGAACGCAGCAACCAATGCGTCTCGGCGTTCTTGGCTATGGAGGTAGGATAGGCAGATTGTCACAACGTGGATACCTTCGCGAAAGAAAGCGGCTTTCAGCTGCCTAATCGCTTCGAGGTTGTCGTGGCAAATACCTTCGTAATCCCACTCTGTGCGTCCGCAACGGGCTCTGTCAAGAACCTGGTGATAGTCGATTGCAACCACGCAACTGTCCCGAAAGTCAATGCCGTAGCGCGGCTCGTAGACAAAGGACAATCCTTGATCTTCCCAATTGCTGTTCACACACTTGAATACTCCTGTGGCAAGAGTCAAATCACAAATCACCGCAGCGAAGTGATGCCCGGAAGGCTCAGCGCGCCTCGGCGTACGTGAAGTGCTCTCTGGCCTCGACGCAGCTTTGCTGGTCGCCTGGAGCAATCTGTGCTGCACAGGCTCCGCAGATGACGATGCAGGCTCTTCGGCTCGGAGCGACTCGCGCTGCACAAGCCTAAGAGGAGCAGACCGATCCGCTGCCTTCACAACCCGAAAAGACACCCGATGATTCTGGGGCTCCTCAGTCAGACGCTGTTGCTCGTTCCAAAAGGCCTGTTCGTAGAGCTGTAGCTGTTCCCAGTTGACTTTTGCACGTGCAAGCCTGTCCCAGGTGCTATCCAGCACAAACGGAGGTTCGTTTGATAAAACCCCTTCGGCCAATCCGTCACGTAGTACACCAAGTTTCTGTGACTTGCCTCTTCGTCCGGCTCGATGCCAACCGAAGAGGTTCCACAGTTCCGGTGCCACTCCCGGATGCTCGACGCCCTCACCCGCCGTAGCTATCGGTCGCAGCTCAAAAGCTACGGCTGATAACCAGACGAAATACGAATCAAGACAAGTCAAGTAAAGAGTATGCCCAAAAGTGCTATGGCGGCACCGGAAGCTTCACTCGCACAACCTGTTTTGCCTTGAGCCAAAATGTACAAGTCATCCAAGGCGAACTGAATGTTTCTTTTCAGTGTCAACCCTGGAAACCTGATTCAAAGGAAAGTTCAAGCAAACATGAATTCCGGGGCAAGGTTGAATTAGACATGCATGCACCACCTACCATCAGGAAAATGTGGATTCCAGCAGGGGGCATTCTTCTCCTTTCAAGGGAAACCACAAGGACACCACGAAATTCTGGGGGTGGAACCCCAGTTTGAGAAACCGCCAAGCTCCGAACAACTTAATTTGTTTCTCCACGCAGGCATGATAATGCTGGGCCGGCCCCCGCAAAATTTGGGTGGGCCCCCATGACCTCCCGAAACCAACATTTGACCACCAACAATATCAATATGGTGAGCGACTCATATGAGAAAGCAATGTATTGCGGCTTGAACATGAACAAATTGACAGTGGCTTGTACTTGTTAAAACATATTTGCTTGTACATGGTTATTTGCCTAACACGACTATGACTCTTCATTGACCTTGTATTATAGCCTAAAAAGCATCGGTCTGTCCCTTCAGCACCAAAAGTGGCACTTGCTCAGCTCTGCTTTCAGTTGGAACCAACAAATCGGTTGGCTTTTTTAGTTCTTCCCCAACAAAATAAAGAGCATCTAATCCGAAAGGGGTAGCCTCCACAAACAAGGTATCCGTGTTCCCCCCCCCCCAAACGGTCAATGCAGCAAAATGTGAAAACCTCCATCCGTGTCACCACATAGCCGACACACTCACTTCACTTGAGGACACCTCTCCAAACTTTCAACCGGGCGCGGGTTCCTTCGGCTTGTTCGAAGGATCCCAAGACCTCGCCACCAAGAACTGCCCAGAGCGGGTGGGTGCGTCCTGTCTGGGTGTGTGCTTTTCTGTTTTTTGTTTGAGTGGGGGGGCGTGTAGTGGCATATGGCCAAGACAACAGCTGTTTTGACAACAGCAGTTTGCTTTGCTTGTTTTGTTTTGGGGGGTCTAGTGGTACAGGGCCAAGGCAACATCTTGTTTATTTTGTGGTTTTATATTTATTTATTATTTTTTGGTGTGTGTGTGTGTGTTGTTGTAGTGGCATATGGCCAAGACAATAGTTGCGCACTGCTTTTAGTCAAACCCCTAAGAGAAGGACTCAGCAAGGAGCCTTCACACCTTCACGGGTGAGGTTACTTATTTACAACGCACATGACAGGCGAGTTGAGTCACGATCACAACCAGGTACTGAAGGGTTCTACCCGAATCATGTAAATCAAGATGGGGATATGCGCATGTGTTTGTGGCTCGAACTGGTCCCCACTACCCTACCCGGGTGTTGATTGTGACTCAGCTGGAAAGACCTGCCGCTTCCCCCGTTTTCCCGTGTTGGGCGGCTCATTTGCTCATTGGCAACTTGCAAGCTGTTGTTCAGCTCAATCCGCTGGAAGATAGTAGTACATTCAACCCACTACCCCCCGACCAACAAGCGTTGTTCCCAGACTTTGGCACAGGTCAAGCTCAAACAAATCCGTGAAGCGGCCCAAGAACTCTTTGTGTTTGCTTACAAACAGGGGGGGTTCTGCATTCCTTTCACCATACTTCCAAAACCAGAAACAACAAATCCAGGATACCCCATTTGTTTATGTCCCCCCCGGAATCGGTGGAATCGCTCGCCAAAAAAGCAGACAGCGCTTGGCTCAAGGTCTTCGAAGAGGTCGAGTGGGCCTCGGCGAATGGGGACGTTTTCTGAGAAAAAGCTTGGGGCAATCTGAGGTGTCCACTTGTTTTTTTTTGATCACGTTTAGCGGAAATTGGACATATCCCCTCTATATAGTCTCTAGTGGCAAGTAACACAATTTGCACTAACTTGTCCAGCAGGGGTGCTTCCAGTCAACCTGATCGTCAATAAAGGGTCAACATTCGGAAATACCAACAGACTCAATGTCAGTTTTGAGGGGCGGAGCCATTTGAGCAAGCCGTCCGAAAGGTTCTAAAGCGGAGCCGCAGGCTTTCAACAACGGGCACCTTGTTTTTGGTCACCTGATGTCAAAGGGAACCTGCCTCCAAATAGAGAACATGCCAGCCCAGTGCTTCCAGTTACCGTATCACTACAGTAGGTAACCAAATAATTGTTACGTCTACGCTTCACGCTTCCCGCTATATATCGCAATAGGCAGGAAGCCATAAAATCTTTACCTCTAGGTTTCACATGATTCGGTTTCCCCTGGTTACCTATCCTAGGTCCTCCAGCAGAGAGGTTCGAATGAGACTACCCCTTTTTCTGCAGTCTATTTTAGTAGGGGAACCCCAAAAAACCCAAAAAAAACAGTAAAACAACTCAAAAACCCAAAAAAGAAACAGTAAAAAGGCACCAATTGCTGGAGGACCTAGTATCTGTGAAAAGTGGAAGCACTGGGCAGCGGAGGTCTGGGAAGTTTGGATCTGCAACTGCTTCCAAATCGGGGATCCGGGGGATGGATGGGGCTGCATTTGTTCAGAAGAACTCGGAGGCCCATCCATTTGTGGGAACGGAGACTGAATTCCGCACAAATTTGCAGGTCGGAGAGCTGGTTGGGATTCAGGATCAAGGGGATGATCTTTGGTGGGATGCCTCAGGTTGCAATTCCATCTTAGAACTCCTCATGATCCCTAACATTCTAGGGGTACCTTCCCCATTCTTTCCCGGGATCCTTCTTTCCAGAAAACCAATAGAACCCCAGGGGAAACAGCTGGTTGGTTGAACAGAATGGGGAATGAACCCCTAGAAACATGACCCAAACTTTCAGGCTCTGGAAGCCCAACATGTCCCAAAATCTCGCAGCGCAAGTAGGGTAAAGGCTGGAAGCTCATGGCTGCAGCTTGCCAGGTAAGGTGTGTGGTTCAACTGCAACAAAGGGGCGTGCGCCGTTCGAATATAAGCTAGGTCCTCCAGTAGAGAGGTTAGAATAAGGGTACCCTTTTTTCTGTAGTCTATTTTAGTAGGGAACCCTCCCCCCAAAAAAAGGGTAAAAGGGCACTTCTGGGGGAACTAGTAAGTGCAGAGCCAAAACTTGGTGCTTAGGGCTTAGGGAATCATGGGCTTCCCAAAAACTCACCCTGGATTGCCTTTACGAGCCAGCAAGTGGCCTGTGAGGCCTAAACAACCACCCCAGTGGATCCATTGACCTCATTTTGTAAAACACAAAGGGCCTGCCACCCTTCAAAAACCAAAAGGAAAATAGCTGGTTACCTACCTCGGTTGCTTTCTGCTCCCCTGCTACAAGTTTAACTTTTAGTGGTTTAATTGCAAACCCACTAGTGGGCAAAAAAAGAAGAAGTCCGAACATCCCTTGGCAAAAGGCACCTCTGTACTATCAGGGCTTGCCTGGGATCCACTGGGAGACAAACTTTTTTTGGGCTAATGGAAAATGGATTCTGCCGAAACAGCGGCAGCTCTAGTTTTGAGGCGGAGGCGACTGCTCATCTTGGTAGTTCTCGAAGGGGTGCTGACGTGTCACAAAGCGTGCAGTGGGCATGGGGATATATGTATTATATATAGACATACACGTATGTATATATTAGTATATATATGCACATGTGTATATAGATTCGCATCTCTATGACAGTCCTTTTGGTTTCCTTTCAATTTCCAACACAATGTCCTTTGCCCATATCCTTACCTTCCAGATGTTCAAATGCCAAGTGCATTCGCCCCAACAAAAACCGCGACCTGCGGGTGTTTCGAACTCATGGCACCAAGGGATGCCTAGCTTGAGATATTGACTGAAGCATCTGCAGCCCGCTCAAAGGATCACAACTCAACACAAGAGAAGCTTCCTGGAGCTATGCTGTAAAGGGGCCGGCTTCCGCCACAAGTTGCCAGATGTTCAAACATGGGTATGTCCTTTTTGCGAGGCTCGGTCTCCCCTCTTTTGGGCGGGGATCAGAGGGAAACCAACAATGAAAAACCGTTGCGCCATTCTTGGGGCTCCGATTCCCAAAAAACGCCGAGACCGAGACACCTCCAAAAGTGACCCGTAGCTCAGCTCAAAGGCCCCTTGAGGTTCAAAGAGACCTGACTTCAATGCACTGGGCTCAGATGTCATAATCTGTGTGCCATTTTTTGGGGGGTACCCCAGGTGTTTTGTGGTGTTGAAAAGGAAACCAACAGGAAACACACTATTCTGTGGGGTCCCGGAAAAAAAAAAGGACGCATCCACATGGGGCGTTCTTAAAACTAGCGGCCCAGGAAAGTTGGCTTCCTCTTGGTGTCCCTTTCAAACCCTTAAAAAGGGGTCCACCAAATCTTTTGAGAACCTCCCATATGGCTATGGTGGTTCAATTATTTTGGCTCGTGGATCTTGTTAGCACTTCAATCCTTCTCAGCTTTCACGGCCGCCGGTTCCTCTCCATGACCCCAGCCTTGCACCAGGTCGTGTTGTGCCAAGCAATCATGGAATTCAATCCATCGGTTTTTGTGTGTCCACAGTAGACCCGCCGTTGCATGGTGTTGTTGAAGGAACCCGCGAAGTCCATTTCCCTGAACTCTAGGGGTTGATTCCCCATTCTTCTCAACCATCGTTCTTTTCAAGAACCGGCCATTTTCCCTGGGTGTCCGGAGGTTTTCTAGAAAGATTCGGACCCCTGGAAAGAATGGAAATGGAAGGTACCCCTACAGTAGGTAACCACAGCACCTTCAAATGACCGGTCCCAAGCGCCTGTAGATCTCGTGTCTTGAAGCCGAAAGGGTGTAGAGAAACCAACAAAAGGGGCCCCCTCCAAAATAGAGAGCCACAAGAATCTAGAAGAGACCGACTCATGTGGGTATGTCTCAAAATAGGGGGGACTTGAAAAAAGGGGGCTTTCCTTTGTCCCTTCAAACCTCAACAAAGGGTACCAAGTCCATAACCACACTAGCTTTTTTGGGCGGGCATCTACCCTCCACTAGCATGACATCTATTCCTGTAAAGGGGACCATTTCTGTGGTTGGTTCCATGGCAACGTGGGCAGGAGGCTAGCCAAACCAACCAAAAAAAACACGAGAAACCACAGGAACCAAGCTCAGATGCCCAGTGGCCATGGGGAAAAAAAAAAAGGGACCGGCATCAAGGATTTTTGGTCGCTTGACTTGAAAGGAATTGGAACCCAGACCCAAAAAACAAGAGGCAAAGGACTTTAAAGGGGAACCCTTCCCAGAAAAAGTTCGAAGGGAAGCAACGCGTTGGCCTTCAGGAAGTCTGGCAGAAACTCCGGGAGCTCGCCGTGCGCTCTCCTGTCGCAGTTAACTCGCAAGGAACGAGTGGGTTGTCCCCATGTCCTTTTCGGAAAATGGATGGCCCTGGTTGATTGAACCACCAGGTAAACCAGGAATCGCCTTCTATCTTTTAAGCACAACCAAAAAGGACACCTATGATTGGCCTCCAAACCTTTGGCCTTCCAGAATATGGGCCGGCTCGTCTTTTGCGGTTTCCCCCATGTTGAGAAAACCCAAAAACACTTCTTTCCCCAAAAACATGGGCGTCCTTCCGGGATCGTCTAGTTCCGTTTGGGGTTAGTCTAAAGGGAAAGCGGAAGGAATTTAACACCACCATTTTGGGAGGTCCCCCCCCATTTTGAGACAAACCCAAAATGTGTTTGTTCCTAAGATTTGTATAGTCCAGAAGGTTATGCTTGCCAGGGTACATCGCCAATGCTCAAGGTTGACAAACCCGGCTGCCTATGCAGACTAACCCTTTGCAAACTTGAAGAAAAACAACAAAGCTTCTTGGAAAAGGGGAGCCCTTCTGAATCTGATTTCAATAAGAAATCCTCCAATTTTACCTGGTTGATGTCGACGCCCCTGCCAAAAGTTAAACTTTTTTGGGGGGTTAGTGGAAAATACCTTTATTTTCCAAAAAGTTAAAGTCTAAAGATCCAACCCAATAGCAATCAAGTTTAAAAGGGAGTGCGGTCACGGGAACGATCGCAGCAGGCCCGTGGCGCCTGGAGAGGAACCAGGCTCCGCAGAGCCCTGAGAGGAGTGTGAAGATGCTGCCTGCACACACGCTCGCTCGCCTTTTTAAGGCTTTTGGTTGGCTGTCAAGGGGAAACCAACCGGCTTTTTTTTTTTTGGGGGGGGGGGCCCTACAAGAAGATTCACCCACAAGTGGACCCCCTCATTGGTGAACCTTGACTCATAAACCTTCCAGCGTGAATCAGGGTGGTCACGCCGGAAAGGGGCTCAATAAAATATTGTATGATCAAAAGTGTGTATGTCCCCCAAAGATACAGCCTGATCAACCTCTAAATCAATCCGGGTGAGCTCGTGTAGGGTTTCCACACACTGTTGACCAACACCATTTTATCCCAAATACTTTCAGCCATGTTGAGACATGTGACCCCCACTTTGCAGTGATCATGACCAGACGAAAATATCAGTACCGGTTCCTTCAGGGTGTGCTCAAGAAGTATCTGTGCACGGCATGGAGATCGCCAATGGCGAGCGTCCCCATCGGGCTTCGCTTAAAAGCCCATGTAGGTGTGTCCAAAACTGGCGGACCTCGGCCTTCCAACTCCTCCCTCTTGACATATGGATGGACAAAATCCATGTCGCACCACTTTGAAGGAATGGGAAACCATTGATTGTTGGTATCTACAGGTGAATCATCAGAAGCCGAAGGGGTTTCTGAACGGTGGTGCCGAAATGCGGATTTCGCAACCATCCACAGAAGAAAAACCAGGCAGGCTCGTCCCTTCGAGCTCGCTCCAAAGGGCCTTGTTGCTTCGGTTGCCAAGTTCCATGGAATGATGCTGCCCGAATTCTGAAGCAAACCTGGTCCGTCCCAGGGTGTCTTCTGCCCTAAATGGTCGATGCCCGACTGCAAGTATGGTACCTTCAGAGTTGCTGACGTCACCCGGCCAAAGAATTTCAGACTTGCAGAGTTTAGCAGCAATACGGAACACGGGACCAAGTATCTGAAAGTTCTTACAGTATGTCCAACATCTGAATTGAGGGATCCCCGAGTAAGGGACCATCATGGCGAGCTCGCACAAAACCCCCGAATCGGTCGCCATAGTGACCTCCTCAAAACTAGCGTCTAAAAGGTAGTTAGCGTGAAGGAAGCCCGCATTGGTACCTTCCATTTGGTTAAGACCCCCGGAAAAAAATAAAAAGAATCATGATAATAAAACATATTTCCGCTAGTGATAATTTCCTTTTTAAAGCCAACAAGTTGTTTTTACTATTATTATTCCTTTCAGCAAATGGAAGTTACTGTTGACCGCTCCCCCTCAAGATGCTGCCGGGAAACCCGAGAGCATCCCGGCCATGATGGCGCCTAACACGGTGGCCTGGCACAATGGGTGCGGGCCATTTTTTGGCATGATGGCCATGCTTCCGAAAAACCGCTGTGGTGTTGAAGTGGGCACCTTTTTGAGGTTTGAAGGGAAGGGACGAAGTAACCCCCCTTTTTGGAAGCCCCCCCTATTTTGAGACGTGGCCAGGGGTCAAAAGCCAAATCGTACCCCCTGTGAACATCCCAATCCAACCACTCAAATAGGTTCTAAAACGAGTGGTGAATTCACCTACCAACCAAAATGGGATCCCAAAACGGTTTTGACAACCACGGCCTGGTGGCAAAAGCTGAGGTAAGTTGCGGCCAGCGCACGGAAAGGTTGAAGGGCTTGCTAGAGGCGGTTTCCGTAGGAACAGGTGTCACCAAAGCCAAGTCTATTTGCTCGCCCCTTCATTTTGGTTGATTCTTTTCTTTTTTCGGGGTCCCCTTTTTGGGCCCCTCTCGTTTGGAACCCTTCCTTTGTTCCGTTCGACATTTTCACACTCGTTTTGGCAATGGGTAAAGCTATATATATGATACCACGAAACTCTGTTTGTTCCACCAAACAAGGGTCTCCCAAATGAGCCCCCCCTTTTTGTTTCATCCCCTTCCGCTTATTTTGCCTTTAATCCCGAACCAACCCCAGGATTTAAACCTTGACATGGGCGCGTATTTTATATCCGTGGCGCGGGTCCACAAGAGATCCAAAACCTTCGTGCGGACCACATGTGAGGCAAATAGTTCAGGGATTGTCCATTTCCCGGGCTTTGTGGCTCTTTCAGATGGAACCTCAAAAACCCACCCAGTTGTGGCGGAAACTCCGTTTGGGAAATGGCCCCCCGCCTTTTGGGCTCCACATGTTTTAGATCAACAAGGTTGATTTGGCCCTGTAAACCACATATGTAAAGAAGACGCACACGTTTGGGTCTTGCATTGCAAATCCTATAGATCGACATGGAACCCAACAAATGTCACCCAGTTGCAGAGAAAATTCAATATCGGCCGCCCTTTTGCTCCACGCGTTTGGTAGTTTTGCCCACAGGGAACATGGATCGACACCAGGGATCCATTGGGTCGGATGTGCCAAGCCGAGCTCAAGGGGGGACCCTGTGTCAGGGAAAAGGACACTCGCTTTGGCCGCGGCCCCAAAAACATGTACCCAAAATGGCACCTTGGTTTTATGGAAACAATGAACTGAAACCTGCGTAACTTCGCCAGTTTAATTCTAAGCCACACCCATTTGTTTTGAGGGATCGCTATGATCATGACATATGGGTGCAATTCGGGAAGCCTGCAGCCCGATGCTATCATTTTAGGCCCTATTCGGGGGCAATGTTCTTGTTGCTCTCTCTTCAACTAACACTTTCCAAGGTACCAACTCCGCCCTCGGGAACCTCAAATGGGCCCCGATCCCTAGCCCTACTCGCAGTCCAACAGCATGCGGCGAACGGTGACCAGCCCTATTCACCTTCGGGCCAACGGCACTGGCGCCGGGCCCGTGGGTTTTTGCGACGCTTTCTTGGACTGGTATTGTTTTTTGCACAAGCCTTTGAATCACCTCCTGAGTGGAGTGGGGAAAAAAAGTCCAAAGTTGTTATGTACCACAAAAATGGTGTCTTCCCAAAAGATGGAAGTCCAGGAACTCGGAAGGTGAGCTCAACCCACCGACCCACAGCCCGAAATCCACCCTGGGACCCATCCTTAGGACAATCGATGATGACGTCCTGGGGCAGTGCCCTTGGTGCCACCTCGGACGCAGACCGATTTGGCTCCTTGGTCTTAAATTGGTAGCTTCGAGCGGGACACCACCCAAACACAAACCAGGGGAGCTTCTGAGGACCCCGATTCGGCCAATTCAATTTTGGGGGTTGCTGTTAGAGACAAACGCACCTGCCCACCATTTGTGCCTTGTTTCTTTTCCTTTACGTCGGCCGTTTGAGCCAAGGGGATCTGTTGGTAGCGGGTGTCGCAAGAGTCACACTCAATACCAGAAGGGGCGGGACCCAGCGCAATCAACAGGGCGCATTCCATGTTGTAAGGGAAGCAAAGGGCATGGAAATGGGTTTGCTAAAAAAAAAACACCCAGCCAAGAGCGGGCTCCATGCCGCTTCCTCGAACAACAGTTTTTGTTGACCAGAGACACAAAGCAGATTTCCGGTCATTGTCTATCAATTCCTGGAAGCTGGATGGCCGATTTGAAATACAGAAGAAACAGGAACCAGGAATCAACACCATGAATTTACTGGAGCCCGCAACGGTCGGTGGACATATCAGTTCCATGGGACATGATATCCCTCCTTAGGGCAATCCATGATGACGTCCTGGGGCAGTGCCCTTGGTGCCACCTCGGACGCAGACCGATTTGGCCCCTCTGCCCCCAAACCTGGTAACCCCCGAGTGGGACACCACTCGAATAAAATAAATAAACAAATACACACGGTAGGAGCTGAGGACGCCGATTCGGCCAATTCTCAACAGAGCACCTGCACCACCAGTCATGCCTTGTGTTCTCTTTCATTGCAGGCATGAGCCGATGTGGAATATGTATGAATATGTTGGAAGCGGTCTTTGGGGTCCGCGAGGTACTGAAGGGGTCTACCGAATGTCGACAATGATCGGCGCATATCAAATGGGTCTGCCTTACCCTTCAACCAAAGGAAAGATATAGTGGATTGTCGGCTTTTCGGCATAGCTCGATCCATGGTTCTTTTGGTTTCTATCGGGTGGTTCCCTTAGTTCCACTTCCTGAGTGCATGGGCCAAAACAAGCCTGAACTTTGTATTTACCACCAAAATGGTCTTCCATGAACTCAGGGAGTTAGACCCAGGGAAATGGAATCGCTGGCCGAATGATATGTGATCTTTGACTTGGGCCTTGGTTGACATCCTTTGCCATGGAATTGATATGTCCACCGGCCATTTTGCGGGCTCCGGTACATCCATAGCCATGCGGCTGCATGAACAGGCAGTCTTGAAAAAGCAAGCCAAATGCATGCCCGTGTCTTTCCGTACAAAATGGGGCACTCGACAAATCACCGAGATGCTTAGCACATCTTGCAGTAGCACCTTGGATCAAACGGATGCACAAACGAAGCCCGGTCTATTGTCAAAAAAGGTGCACCTCCCCTCCCCCGAGTCAGTTCCTCGTTGGTTGTGAACAAACCTTCTTTTGGTTTCCTTTTAGAAAAAAGAGGAAGAGTCGGTTTCAACTTGGAGGCTGGGGACCGCTCCCAAGAACAACAAACATTCTCGGCGGAAACGTCGCATGAGGCGCCGGGCCAAGGACAGCTGTGGGTTCGGTGCTGCGCGTGACGCTGGCCTGGGCCAGAAAGAAGCTCCAGGGCCGGGAAAGAAACATGTCGGCAAGCAACCAGTGGATGCAATAGGATCGCCTTGTCAATCATGTGATTTTGCTTATGGGGGGAGGGGAACACGGTTTAACGAATTCTGATCATTCCCCCAAACAAGCCCTTTTCAGGGTTTGAAACCCCGATCCCAGTCAGGGTTCTGTGTCAAACCCATCCGAATGGGTCCGAATGGGTCCCCCTGTTGGATGGTTTTCAAGGGACACACACACAAAACAACAAGACCGGTGTTGCCAGGCTCGGCCTTGCGCTTCAAGTTGTGTTTCTTTTTTTTGGTGGGGGGGCTTCTTGGAAGGCACTTTCTGGGGCTCCCCACCACCAGCAATGGCTGCCAAATGCCCGCAAAATAGCCAAAGAAGGGTGGTTACACAGCAAACCATTTGACAACCATGATGGAGGAGGGAAGAGTTCCCAGTTTTGCCAAAACCCCAAGGGGTTCAAAAAGAACCAGCAAGTATGCCTCACTTCCGTAGATGGGAATCAAAAGGTCCAAAAACCTCTGACCACTTAATCAAAGCATAAAGTCCCGAAAGAAAGGAAGCGAGATGACGCGATTTCATGTTGTCCTGGTCGGTTTTCAGGACGTTCCAAACAAGTGAAGGATTCCTGCATATATGGGCCCCCACCGCCCGTAAAGAATCAGCCGGGGGTTAGTTTATCTGCGTTGATGTATTGGGCATGGCCCCAAACCTCATGCAGATCGGACTTTACCATTCGTGAAATTACTTGGCATCTTCCCCTCATGGGGCGGGAACCAGGATGCCTTATACAGAGGAACCAACCCGATTCACAAAGCTTTCATACAGGTCCGTTGTGACATTTCCTACTTGTCCAACTTGGTCCATTAAAGGAAAATCATCAGAAGCAGCCTCTAAATGGTGCTTCATCAGGGAAACCAACCCTCAAAGCAAATTTAAGCCCCTCAAAATGTTGACCTTCAAGGCCTCAGTCCGACGGAAAGAAGGGGCGAACTAAGTTTCACGGGTTTCAGATCGAGTGATCAGAATGTCTCTTTCCTGTCTTCCGCTGCCTACGCCGTCCCCCAAATTCTGGTTGACGTTGGAAGGGGAGCAACAAATAATAGCAGTGTAGTGGGGATTTCCCACTAAACCACAATAAGCAAAAATGTAAAATGTCTCCCAACAACAACCATGCAACGACCCTCAAGGAAACAGTTTGCGGAGGTCCCTGAGCGCCAGGCTGTCCAGGTTGGAAGGCCTGGCTTGGTTCTCCAAATGAACACCTTTGAAGCAACCCCAAGACAGGGGCTCCCAATTTTGAGACGGACCTTATTGTGGATGGACCAAATCCATTTCGCACCACTCGGAAACTATGGTTGAAACCGTGGTTGGTATTTAAAGGGGAATCGAATCATTCCAGGGTTTCTGTAGATGGTGCGAAGTGGATTGCGTCCATCCACAGCATCACTGATAACATCCCAAAGAGCGGCGCTGCCTGCGGGCATGGGTTAATGAGTGCTTTCCATCACAAAGAGGGCAAACAATTATGCTGGTCTGACCACAATCCTCGTTCAGAGCCGCCTACTGGAACAGTGTTCCCAAATTTCAGCTTGAGCGCATTTTAAAACTATGTCATTCAATCATCGGCCTTATGTTTTTTTAGGGCAAATATCTTGGGGCACTCCGATCCGGTCCGAACATTCCCGGCCTTTCAGATTTCACTTGCCAGGCTCCCTTGCCGAGCCATTTTGGAGGTCGCACGGCGAAAGGAACCACCTATTGCCTGTAGGCTTAAAGCGAAATCGATGTCCGCCTTCTGCCACAAGAAGAAAGGCTCGCCACACTTCCTCACTTATCCAGTGGATTGGCCAAAGAAGTAACCAAACCTTCTATGTACCACTAAATTTATTAATTCCTTAACCTCACATTGAATCGCGCTCAGGGCATTGTCTATCGTTGCGTCTCTTTAACAGCTCCGTTTGCTCGGCCGGTCCTAGACTCAATGCGCCAAGGTCCCCCAAAGCATCTGTGGATCTTCTTGGGAGCGCGAAAGGGACTTTGTGCTGACTCCTTTGGGGAAGTCAACCATTTTTTATTGCACACCGTGCGAATTCAATCCAGCTGGTTCGTTTCGACACGCTCAAGGCGCTGTTTCCCCAGCAACAACTAGGGATCGAAGCGCTGGTTTGGGGCGGCCGTTTGGTGTGTTCACGTGAATCCCCACCCAAATGATGTCCACCAAAGGGTCCCTTATTAAAACCCATAGCCACATAGGGATATTCATACTGGAGGGCAAATCCCACTAAGTACTTGAACTGCGTGGCGGGGGCCCCATTGTGAGTCTCCCACAGCCTCTTTCTTTGGCCCAGGGAAATCTCAGATTTTCGGGACCCCGGAACCAATGGCAACAACAACAGGAAACCACCAGCATGGCGTTAAGACCCCCAAAACACGGCACCAGTACTACAGAAACGGACATCCTACTTGGTACTTGACCTTAGGGTAACCCGACAAACGGAAAGTCCCCGGCTTCCCCAACAACACAGCTGGGGTTGTCTCAAAATAGGGGAACCTTCAAGATGGGTGGCATTTTGTGGCAATCGCTTCCCCTAATAACAAATACAGCCCCCGCTATTAAGAAATATTGGCTCGGGGCAAACAACATTTGTTCACAGGGCAACTAGGGGTCGACGGATTTCCACTTCGGTCCTCGTGCCAATAGGCTTCTTCCCGTTTCCCGGACACAAAAAAACTGCCAAAATCACAATTTCCAGCTAATGAATTTTATTAAAACTGTTCAAGGTTGCTTTCTCGTTTTTGCGGTTCAAAAGTATACAGCGCAATTGAGGCAACGGAATTGCAGTTAATGACACCAAATTATATTGGCAAACGATAAATATGAATTTACAATTTAAACACATGTGCTGGAATACCCCGTAATATGATTTAGAACGGGCGTATTCTCAAAGTAGTATTGGGGATGCGGGGGTGTGGGAAAAACAACATTCATTCATAGGGTGCATTTGGCGGTTGATCAAAAGGACCTGCACATAGGAAAACCGTTGGGAAAAGCACCAAACAAATGATATGTCCCACATGGGAGAAGTTATCCATGGTCAAAACTGGGGGCCCTAAATGGAATACTGATCACCCCCCCCCCCATTTATGAATAGGAAGTCATTTACTATACTCCCCTGGAAGAAACAAAAACAGATGCCCAGTCCTTTAAAATCAAGAGGGAACAAATAACATATGGCCATGAGTTAGAAGCAGTGAACATCCCAATCCCCACTAAAAAAGGCTCTAAGATGAGTGGTGAATTCACCTGCCCCGAAATGGGATCCCAAAACGGTTTTGACAACCACAGCAATATATTCATTCCAGCAAATGGACGTATACCGAGGCTCAAACAAACCAACCGACCCAAGTCTCACCCCGGCTTTCAACGCTTCCAACGCCTGGTGGATGAAGCCCAGGTCCAACTCGCCTACCTGGCGACACAACTATCGCCTTCATGAACCCAGAAATGGGGGCGGTTCATACCAGAGCGTCATATGGCTGTGGGTCAAAACCCTGGTGCCCCTCCACCCCCCACAAAATCCAATTCGATTGATTTAGGGCCTTCAAGCAACCTGGTTTCGAGACCGGGTCCCCTCCGCCTTCGGGGTGTCTAATGCTTCGGGCTCGGGTCTTCCATAAGCCGAAGCCGATCGGGAGCCGTGACTCTGGGCCCCGAGATTGGATCGAACAAAGGGGGGGGGGTGGTGCTTGGGAAGGGGGTGGTTGGGGGGGGGGTTACCCAAAAACGGGTAATTATCTGGACTTTGAAACAACATTCATAGAAGAACGGATACATTCAGCCTTTGACTTTGTGTTTCTCTCGTTGGCCTTTGCTCGTGTTTCATTTCATCATTATTAGTCTTTTTTGGGTGGCACCAAACAAAGAAACACGAAAACACAAACAAGAAGCATAACCATATGATGTTCCCGATTGGCTTCTCTTGGGGGAAAAAGGAAGGAAGCAAACACAAAACAAGAACCATAAACATCACATGGGACCCTCTTGGTTTCCCTTGGGAAAACGAGAAGGAACAGTTGAATTACATGTCCCTTCCTTTTATGGCATGCTTTTTTGTGTTTGCCTTCTGCCCAAGGCATTGGAAGGGTAAGCGTGCCCAGTGGCTTCAATGCGATGTCCTAAAGTCACTTCCCTAGAGAGATGATGGAACATACGGGGGTGTTGTTTTTAGTGGACTGCCCCAAAACGGTGGTGTTCCTTTGTCCCGTGTAAAAACGAGAAAACAAAACACAAAACAAAGGGGTACCCTCAACAAAAAGACACACCCAGATGTTCATCTTACCCAAAGCAAGCCCTCTCACGTTGTGTTGCTCCCAATGCACTTCCATACAAGGGGTCTCAGACTTTGCATGGGCGGGTTTGCCTGTTTGCCTTTGAGAGGATATGCAAGCAGAAAAGTTTGGCTTGGTGTGGAGCAATGTGGGCTTGGTTTGTTGGTTTCCTGTTCATGTTGACCCCATATTCATCAACCCCAGTTCATTCTAATAGGGGGTGAGGGCCCCTCCAAAAGCGATGGTTTCCTTTAATGAGCGGTTCTCCAGTGGAGAGGTTAGAAAAAGGGTACCAACTTTTCTGCTGTCTATTTTAGTAGGGGTTCACCCTCCCCCCAAGAAATAAACTGTAAACGCTGTCCTTCCGCTTCCGCCGTCGTCGTCTTGGCCTTGGCTCCCGTCTGGGGGCCCGTGCGAAACTCCAGGGCTCCTTGCCCTCGGGGTGCGGGTAGTAGACGTTGGTCCTCCAAGCGAAGCGCTCCACCGCGACGGGGGCGTGCGGCCGGTTCCCCCCCCAAAAAAAAACACCGTCAAAAACCCAAGAAAATGAGGAGGGTGTTGCTTTGGATGTTTAATGAACCCACCCTTTTTAGGGGGGAACAAAGACCCTTCAACTCCGCCTTTTTGAGCGAGTCGTGGCAGAAGGCAACCAGTTACCCCAGGAAACGACACGGATATTACTTGGGTAAGAACATCAAAGTTCGGGGAGAAGATGCCCACCAACCACCTTTGAGGGGTTCCCTATTGAATTTCACAGCCAAATGAATTGGAACCCAATTTTGGGGGGGCACACTTTTAGAAGAACTGGAAGACCTTTGGGGTCTATTGCAGATCTTTAGAGGGTAAGCTACCCAACGTAAGATTGGGGCACCCTGAAACCAAACCCCCAAATAAGCCTAACAAAAGAAGACAACACAAAACAGGGCTTTATGAATGGCTTATTTGGGCTCCCAAGGGAAGCCTCTCAGCTGGAAAATGGGTCTGCATCCCATGCTGCGCCAACCGCAAACGGCGGCATGTGCTCGATCTTTATCTTTGGCCTGTGGTTGAAGACATGGATCCTGAGCTTTGACCCATACAATAAATTACGCCTCAACAAGACAATGGACACAGAACCCAGTCACCTTTCAGTCTTCGCCTCGCGCCAGGGAACCGTCTGTGAGGTTCATTTCCATCCATAAGGCCATCTTACTATTTGACACTTCTTGCATGACAAGGAACTCTCCAAAGGGTATCAAAGCAAAGAACATGGGAACTCTAAGCAACTCATGCGGTTACAAGCACGTATGCCCGATTTTAGACAAGGCTAAACGCGCAAGCCTCTTTCTATTTGCAAATTTGGGTTCAACACATGAAACAACTATTGCAGGTGTGGCAAATCCATAAAACAAGGGTTTAGGTCTACTCGCTTGACCAGGAAAAAAAACAAAAACAGCTGAACTTGTCAGACAACAAAGTGGGCTGCTTCACTCTGGCAAGAAAAACAAAGGAAAGATGCCAATGTCCACCCTGGGGCTGGGTATCATTTAGTTGGCCCGGAGCAAGCCGCTGAAAGATGGAAGAAAAAAAACGGATATGGTCGACGTGCTTCGGCTAGGAGAAGGCCAAGGGTGGAAACCAGCTTTCTCAAAATGGTGTCCGATCCTTGGACACCAGCTGCTTAAAGTTGTTCTTCTAGGTAGCGCCGTGATATTTGTATCGTGTTGGGTCCCAGGCTTTCAAAGATCTTCACTTCTTCCAGACTTGCAAGTGACATCTCAAATGGAAATTGGGGGGGTTGGTTCCTCCCTCCCTCAGAGTCTAGTCGCGCAAGCAAAACCTGTAAAGAATTGAACGTGCGAATAGCCGCACGGAATTCTTGGTCTGAGCCCGACCGAGTCGAAGGGCGCCTGTCCTCGGCAATCTCTCGCCGCTTTGGGGAAGCTGCCCGGAATCACCTGGTTGGGACTTGTAGCATGGGACAAACTGGTCTGACCCCCCGCAGAAAGTGATCTTGTTGATGGTTTAAGGGGCAACTTTGAAAAGTACACAACAAAACAGGCAAGCCTTTGGTCTGGCAATAAAAAGTGGAAATCTAATCTGCTGAAACCCTGCGACACAGTACCGCCCACAAAACTAGGTCAGGCCTGTGAGACTCTTGGGGAGTCTTACTCCTGAAGGACTGGTTTGGAGCCCAGTGGCTTGAAGGACAGTAGAACCATTCTCTCCTAGGGGCTCAAATCCAAACCACCAATCCAAACAGGCAATTGGGTACCTGAAAAATCGGGAGCCAGGCTGCCAAAGAACAAGGACCCGTGGCTCGTAAAGAATCAACAACCACTGGGTGTGCGTCTGTTTAAGGCTACCCGTTTAAGGGGTGGTTTTAGCTGGAAAACCAAATAGAAAACCGCCTTCCCTGTCTTGCAACATACCCGCCGTGCGAGGAATCGGCCTTGAAAGGGCCCTGATGCCCTTCGAGTAGTTCTGGAGCGCAACTCCCCCTTTTGGTCAGAGGTGGACAAAATCCTGCACCACCTAAGAAACCCTGTAATGATTCGAATCCCCTGCAAATGCAAGCCGGCAACAGTGTCCCATAGTTTCGAAGTGGTGCAGGGTATCGTCCATCCCCAGTACTAAGAGGGGCCCTCAGCAAGCCATCCACCAGGAGACAAATCCTGACTGTTTGCAAACCGCATGGTTTTCTCTCCCCGCCAAGAAGGTGCCATCCCAAAAGAGAGATTCCTCTAAACAGCAAGCCGAGGACTGGCGACTCGATTTCGGCTACGTTTGTCTCATATCTCACAAGGCCATCGCAAGGTGCAGCTTCCAAACACTTTTTCTCCTCCGGTCTCTTTGAAGCTTTCCCCATCTACAAAGTGGAGGCTTAAAACTTGGCTTGGCCCAAGTCTGGGTACCAAAATACGACTTGCTGGTGCTTCTCATATTTAGCTTATCCTACCCAGCGGATCAGAGTTACCCTGCAGTGAGTAACCAGCCATTTTCCTGTTGGTTTTCAAAGGCTGGTTCCCTTGGTTGCCTAAAACACCGGGTAAATGGATCCACTGGGCTACATACAATGTAGTCTAATTTTGAAGGAGACCGCAGTTGGTAGCACCGAATCCTTGCAGCCACCTGGTTTTCCCGCTACGTGGGCCCTCCGAAATGCTGACTGCAGGGGGTGCGTCTCAATTCGCCCCCCCGCGGCCCTGTACATTCGCGAAGCTTCGCTGCATCGCTTTCACAGACCCGCAGACCTCCAGAAATGACATGGCTGCATTTGGACGGTGTTTGACGGGGGATCAACCAGACGCCAACCATCTCGGCGTTCCCTACTCTTCAAAATACCCAAATAGGGTAGCCCTCAAAAATCGGCTATAGTTGTGCTCATTTGAGTGTCATTATCCTCTTTACCTACACATGCGTCCCCCAAAATGTTCGATGTCCATTTGGCTTCCCCTTTAAACACTCGCCAAAAAGGGCTCCATTTCAAGACCCCAAAAATGTTCGATGTCCGTTTGGCTTCCCTTCTAACGGCTTGCCAAAGAGGGCTCCGATTTAAGACACCCCTCATCTAATTTTTCCCACCGCTGGAGATCTGGAGATCTCAGAAGAGGCCGTGCTTCTTCTTCAAGTTCTCCTCGCAACGAGTCCCAGGACCAAAGGATGCTCCGGTGATTCCGCCCAGTTCATGGGGATCCCAGGACCAAAGGAGGCTTCAGGGTTGAGTCCCCCCAGTTCGTGGGGGATTGGGTCTAGGGTGATTCCCCCCAGTGCATGGGGGCTCGCAATGTCTTCCTCATCTAGGCCACACTATGGGCCATACCTCACATAAAGCCTTTAAGTAGCGCTAGCATCATATTAGCGCCGACGCTGTGCTAACGTCCACTAACCACATTGATCCATCTTGGAACGCTCGCAAAGTGAAGTTCATACCGGAAAATACCGGAAATACGTTTTGATGAAGTGAGCATGTCATGCAAGGGCCGCCTCATGTTGCTTATCTGAAGGCATCTCATTCTACACGGCTGCCATCCTGACCCACAACAAATACCGCTTGTTTGCCATCCTTGAGGGAGTTTTCACGTCCCACCCAACAAAAACAACTAGAATTACGACAGCGTGAGCTGGACTCTGCAGAACGTTTTGGTAGACTCATTCATGATTGTGCATAACGATTTGGGGATCAGCGGTGAGGATGCTGGCTACGCAAGGCTTGCGCGGTAAATGCGGCAAAGTCTGGCAATGTGGGTTGGTCTTAAACCTCCTCTCCCAAACGCTAAACTTGTTGCTCGAGCACCTTCCAAAGGTTGTCCATTTGTAGCTGAAGTGCGAATTGTAGGGGCCAGTTTTGGTACCAACTGACAGCCCTTGGAAGGTCCTGGCTGGCAGCAATTTTCCGAGAAGTTGAAACGGTTCGTTCGATGGAACTGAGGCCAGTGAGAAGGAAACCAGAAGACGCCTTCAGACCCGTGGATCTCCATGAATGGAACAAGGGACGCAATTTTGTGTTGGTTAAGTTTAAATTGGGACTCTTTTGCCCAAAAGCAAAAGCCAAAGTACCCGACTGAAAGGACTCCCTTCCCTCACAAGGGAAAAAACAGGGCGCCGTTTTGGGTTGGAGGATGAAGGAACTCGCTTCCCAGATGTCGGTTGGTTGATTTCAAAGGGACTCCCTGGCCCTCGAGGCATAAAGGGCACCCTTCATTTGTTGCTTAATTTCAAGAAAAATACTTCTCGAAAAAGGAAAAGAAGACGGGACCCTTTTTTGGGTACTTGATTTTGAAGGAAAACCCTTCCCAAAAGGAAGAAACTGGAAGCAACCCACGTGTCTGATCTCACGTGAGTCCTTCTTCCACTTGGGAAACTTGGCAAAGTCCTCCTGGCGCTTGCAACCGCCACGACACACCATGGGCCTTTTCTTTTGAGGCGATCCTGCCGTGTCCGTAAGTGGGAGCCTTTTGTTCTGGAAATCAAGCAAATGCCAGGAGTCTGAGAAAAAAAAAAAAAAAAAACGAGTTCTTACACACCAGTCACCAGTTTCCAGAAGTGCACGGACCCAAATTCTGTTCACAGTTCGTTCCAGGGGCTCAATGAGAGCCTCGAGTTGAACCTCTATGAGCCTCGAGTTGCTTCAGTTCACCCAGCTCTGGTGGACATCGAGACTGGGAACTAGGTGTGGGCAAAAAGCATCCGTCCCAGAATGTTGACCCCATTTTAATCAACCCAGTTTATTGGGGTGTTCCCCTCCAAAAGTGATGTTTTCCCACTAAACCCGGGGGCCCGCCCAGTTTTAATAAACTGGGGTTGATTAATATGGGGTCAACAGTGCTTGTCAATCCAACTGGACAAGCACAAAACGAGACACCTGCTTGGTTCACCGGAGCTCAGCGGGACACAAGGACATTTATGAAACCAACGGTCATTGTTGAGGAGATGCATGGCCGAGCCTCTCAACAAAACACATCCATGTGTGTGGCAGGAAAGTCCCGGTTTTGGTTTCCCGGCCAAAAGGGCAGCCCCAATTTTAAGCTGGTCTTAGAGGGTTATTTGGAGGAAATGAGAGAGTTTGGATACAAGGACACTATTGCGTGGCTTCCCTTGAACTCCCCCTGTCGCTTTTGATGTGTGGATGTCACTGACACCAGAAAGTGGACGCATAATTAGTGGCGGTTCATAGCCACTGAACACTTCAGAGGAACAACTGAGAAGGTTGGTTTGCGCGGGTTGGAGTGGCCTGCCATGGGAAGAAAGGGCACCCCGTTTCTAAAGCGAGACCCTCCCCCCAAAACATGAAACAACGAAGTCCCCCCCCCCCCACAAGCTCTCGCGGCTCGCGAAGTAAGCGAAGATCCTTGTGATGCCAAAGTGCACCATCCCAGCTTCATAACTTTAAAGAGATTCCCAAAAATAAACCTGGAACCTGAAAAAGGATATCTGGATGAAACTGGTCTTCCGAAAAATGCCTTTCCATGTTTGTGGTTGGGTACCTCAGAACGGGGCCCCAAAACCACGTGGCGTCCTTGGACATGCCGAAGAGCTCTCGGAAGGTGCCCTCCGGCAGGTAGGTCTCGCCTCAGCCCGGCAGGTTTTTCCGCCTGATTGGAGGCGATTTGGGGCTGGAACTGGCAAAACGAAACCGGATGGTCCGTGGATCCCTTGCCACAAAAAGCTGGATCCCTTGACACTTTCAGTGGGAGATGCCACACATCCCTCTACATTCAAGCTGGAGGGGACCCTCAAGGTGGTTTACTATGGTTTGCTACAAGTAAGGAACCCCTCAAAATGGGTCGATTCCTTTTACTTTTCGTTCAATCATCGTAGGGGCCCACCCAAAGGGGATACGCTTCTTTTTGGTAACTGTCGCTACTGTGAAAGGTTGATCGCATATCTGCAGTGCTCAGGAAAACTCATCAGCGTACCGACTTGTGAAATAGACTATGCTTGAACATCCCGGTTCGCTTTGAGACGGTGAACACCCAACAAGTATGGAAACAAGGAAACCCCCCAAATGTTTGCTTCACATTTCTTGTATGTGAGCAACCACCCACTTCACAAAGGACATGGCAAAAGAAGCAAGCCGCCGACCCCTCGCCAAAGAGTGAGCATAACCGATTCATCATCAGCATCATCAGCATCAGCATCAGCATCATCATCATCATCATCATCATCATCATCATCATCATCATGATGCGCATCATCATCCTCATGATCATCGTCACGGTGATCATCAAACTTGGTTGATCCTGCTAGCAGCTTGTCTCGTTGTCCCTATCTGTTGGATAGACTTGAGATCTCACGCTAGGTACCGTCAGCATCATCAGCATCATCATCATCATCATTATCATCATGATCATCATCATGGTGAATCATCAAACTACGTAGGTTGATCCTGCCAGAAGCTTGTCTCGTTTTTGAAGCCTGGTGATGCTGGGGGTGCGTAATCATGATCTTGACCGCT